GCAAATAATCCTAACACCCTCTTCAGTGTCCTAAAATAAATTTCATAGATAACATAATCAGATCTCATAGAATTTTAAAACTATATGTTCTAACTCAGAGGTGTGAAACTCATTTTCACGGGGGAGGGGGTGGCCACATCAGCCTTGAGGTTGCCTTGAAAGGGCCGAACGTAATCTTAGGACTGTGTAAATGTAACTACTCCTTAACTAGGGGCAAGGAGCTTGGCATTGCCGCTGGGTAGAAACAAGGTGCCAGGCTGATAAAACAAGGCGGAGGCCGGGTTTGGCCCGCAGGCCTTGTGTTTGCCACCTGTGCTCTCTAACTTCAATAAATTAGAAATTAAATTGAATTAAAAAAAAATAGTCACTTCCACATGCAAATGCTCAGCTGAGACCTCAGGAGAGACTTGGTGAAGTACTTAAAGGCTCTCACCTATTTATACCAGGTAAAGGATGAATGTAAGAGCAAAGAATAACTTGAGGTCGCTTTTCCTTGGTGTTTGACTTTTAAAAATAAAAATTAAGCCTTCCCAAAGAGGGAAAGATTTTCCCAAAACGCTAAACAACTCTTGATAAAATTTCAGAGAAAACAAAGCAGATCTTCCAGGAACGTGGACGCTACTGGAGAGTCCTGGAAACTAAGACAGCGAGACAACTGTGGTTTGTACCGCAAGGGCCGTTGCGAGGTGGAGCTCACCGCCACAGGCCGGGATTCCACCGGACGCAGGGTGTGGCCGCTTACTGCGCTGCAGCGTGTCCCACCCTCCAGGACCCGCAGCATCTCCAGGATGAACCAGACGCTTGGGTTAGGATCTCGGCATCCACGCCGGCCGCTCCTCGGTCGCAGGCACCCCGCGGCCCCGCCACGTTTCCAGAGTTGCAGGAGACAGAGCCTCGGCACCTCCACCCGCCCGCAGGGACGTGTCAATGCGCTGGGTTGTCCTGTCCGGGGGACTCGTTGGGACTGCCGAGAGTAGAGCGCACAGCGTAGCTTCCTTATGGATTGTTAATTACTCCCGCTGAGGGGAGCCGTTCTTCCAGTACGCCACAAGGGGGCGCCTGAGACCCAGAATGGGAACATTTCTGGTTTGTAAAACGTACCGTCTGCATCTGTGAGCTAAAAACAGCATGAGAAGGAATTCATTTTTTGGATTTGTGTTGTGCTAAATGGTCCAATCTTTGGCAGTGCCGTCCAGCCTTCCAACACCCATTGTTAGCACTGAAAAATTTTGTAAATGGCATTTCCAGTCCTTCCAAATAATACAATTTTGATAGTGTAACAGCAATTTCAACATCCTCCCAGAAACACCAAATGGAAACAGATTTTTAAAAATGCGATGGTCAAGCAAGTGGCCAGTTTTTTCCTGTCCCAACACCCACCACACTTCTCTAGAAATAATAACAGTAATAAATAATTTTGTTAAAAGAATGTACCAGGTGTCGTTGATTTTGGGATTCTTTACAAGAATGCACATATTTTCTCTTCACTGGTAAGGCTGTGAGCCAGGGGCTGTGATGTCCATGATAAACAGTGCGACAGAGGCAGCTGCAGCACAGAGAGCGTGAGTAACAGCTAAGGGTACCTTGCTGGCAAGCGGTGGATAGTCACTGCAGAACGCTGGACTGGGCAAGGCAATGGGCAAGGAGTCCCGCATGCTGGAGGAGGTGCTTTGGAATGACTCCACCATCCTCGTACTGCGAGAAGACAAGGCAGTATGTACCCAACTTCTTGTTTCTTCAAAAGCTACTGAGAACACGAGGGTGGTAAAATTTAAAAACACCAATTAAAAAAAAGCTCTGTGAAAGAGTTTACTCTCGGCACCAAGGCTTGTTTTGCTCATGAACTCATGCAGAGCATCACAGCCAGAGGGCCTGACTCAGCTGGCCTTGGCTCCGCTGCCCTGGGTCCGGCTGAGCTGTCATTCTTGGCTGAGCATTAGAAGCTCTGGGGCAGTTGAGAAACGAAACAAAACTGATCTCTTGGTCTCTCAAGCCAGTTCAATGAGACCCTCAGGAAGTGGGGCTCAGGCGCCTATTGTTGTTTTCTTTAACCTCCCCAGGTGATGTAGGGTTCAGTCAGCAAAGAGAACCAAACTCTTATTTATACCGATGAAGAAAAGAAGGCCCGGGGAGGAGCCACCGTGTGCCAGAGTCCACATGTTAAGGAAGGAGGAGCCCAGTGTCCTGGTTTCTGGTCCGATATGCATCAAAAGCTCCACAGCTGCATCGGACTGGGATCACACCACAAGGAGCCTGGCGGCAGGACATGAGGACCTCCTGGGCGCCTGGCACACTCAGAGCTGACTGTTCACTGCTCACCTCAGTCCAAGCTGGGGGATGCTCGGTGGCTCCTGCTTCTGGTCAGCTCCAACCTCAAGGTCGCAGTGCCCCCCCAGGGGTCAGGACTTCCACCATTGCAGACTCCGCCCTGGCCCCTCGGCCCTGGCCCCCCAGCCCTGAGGAGGACTATCCACCACCCTCACCTCCATCTCACTGTTTCCCACCTTCATCAGGTCGTTGACTTGCCAGATAAAACAGTATTTATCTGGCCAGTTAAACCTGGGTTTCGGGTAAACTATGAATAGATTTTAGTATAAGCATGTCCCATGCACTGTACATATCTGTTTCCGTGCTAAACCTGGCAACCCTCTGCACAAGAGCACCGTGACCCTGGCCTTTGCCAGCCCAGCCACGCAGGCCCTGGTTGAGGGCCCGTGCTCCTCCCCCAACACTGTTCAGCACAGAGAGAAATTACTGTGTTTTCACTTAACAACAAGTTGTATTTGGGGGAAGAATATAATTTAAAGAAATGCCTGCTCAATCATCTTATTCATTTATCATCGGCAGTAGATGCTTAACTATTTGGACCACGAGCTGGAGGTTTGGGAAGCGCCGCCATGTGCTCCCTGTGCAGACCTTTTCCACAGCGGTGGGCCTCACGCCCAGCTGCAGGCCAGCAGCCCAATGCGGCCGGTGCACCTGCCCAGTAAGAGAGAGCATGGGCCGAGGGCCAGGCCAAAGAACCCTCGGTCTCACCCTTCCTGTGGGTCCAAGTTCCCCGACCTTGGAAGGAGCTGGTCAAAATTATTTTTAAACCAAATGCTTTTGGAAATTGAACCAAATGAACTGGAGAGAGAGTGTCTTCCTTTGGCAAGTCCGCTGACCTTCGAATTGAATTGATTTCAATTCAGACTCGCCTGAGGAGGTGTGTTTTCTTAAAAGCTCGTCACTGGAGGTGAAGGAGAAGGGGACTTTCTTGTCTGAAGCTGGCGTCTTGCTCCTTCCTTTCCTCAAATCTGCTCCTGCCTTTCGTTAAGGTCTCCGCTGGCCTCCCTGCCACCCGGACAAGAAACCTAACACACACTTCAGGTTTCTCCATGTCCCCTGTCTTCTAAAGCCACCCACTTGAGCCCCGACCTCTTCAGCAAACCTTTCTTTCACTCAGACCTAGGAGCGTGTCCTCAGAGAGACTGTAGCCAACAGCAGTACCTGGAGGGCCCCCTGTGCCCACACCCTGTCCCACACTGGACACCATCTGGCTTTCTAATTTTTGTAGGATCCACAGGTGCAAAGTGACACCTATTTCATTTGAAGTCACATCTCCATAATTCACATTTAGTTTTTAAGTCCTTCTGTGTATGTGCTGTTCCAATGCTGAAACCTTTCACTCTATTTCCTCAGCAGCCCGGGCCCTTGTGGCTCGGACCCCAGGTCGGATGACAATCCTCATTCTCCCTGCCTCCTGCTCTCCCCACACTGCACTCAGCCAACCATCTGAAGCTTGGGAAGGAGTATGGACTCGCTCTGCATAAAGTCCTTCAATAACTGCCACGCATCCTTCATAAATACACAAGCTTCTCACTTGGACCTTCAAGGTCTTAGAGAACCTGGCTCCAGCTGGCTTTCCAGCCCTATCTCCTCATCTCTCCCATCAGCAGCCTGCTCCAGACACCCGCAGCCCTGACCTCGCCGCTCGCCTGTCTCCAGGCCTTGGCCCTTCTTGCACAAACCCCCAGTACCCTCCTTGTGTTGCTTGTGGCCCCCTCAAGGCCTGGATCAAGTGCAGCCTTCCTTACGGTCTGTGCTAGCCCAGGCCTCCACCTCCCCTGAACTTCCCAGGGCTTGCCCAGCACCGAACCCTCCATGCTTATGTTGCTGTCCCATGGGCCCTCGTTTATGAAATCTCCCCCCAGAGCTCAGGCTCCCCGGGGGCCGCTATACATTTGATTCATTTCCCCTGCCCCGCCCCAGCGTTTCACCCAGGTCGGTCCACACTGTAGGAAGGAAAACCAGGTAGGAGGCTGCAAATGCAGGTAGGAGGCTGAATGCAGGGTGACAAAGCACCTCCCTGGGCTGGGGATTGGAAGGGAGAAATGGAGAGGGGGGTACTCAGAAGCACCTTTTGACTAGTTGGCCACGAGGGTTAACGGGAGGAGAGAGTGGAGAACACTCCCAGCTCCCGGGCTTGGCGTTTGTGACTGTGAGGATAGAAACCAGGGCTGCTGAGCACGTGGATATCTCTGGATGGGGACCAAAAAGGCCTGAGCCTGAGATGGAGATCTGGGGTCATCAGCATAGAGGTCGCATCCGACACTGGGGGCACGCCTGAGATCGCCCAGGAGGGCCAATGACGCGCTCCCGGAGGAGACAAATGACATGGAAGTGGCGGCTGCGGAAGACGGACAGAATGGCCGAGGCTGAGTGAGAGGGTGGCGTCCTGAAAACCGAGGGGAGGCACTGCTGTGGCCGACTGCAGCAGAGTCAGATGCTGCGAGAGCCAAGACTGGAGCGCTGAAAGCTGTCCCTCCCAGCCCACCCGGCCCACTGTCCCCTCCTCCCTCAGTAAGGAACAGCATCTAGTCTGCTGATCAGGTCCAGGCACAGCGCCCCCTCTGGGGGCTTTGTGTAGTAAAAGCCAACTAGCCGGTGTTGACCTTCCCAAGGTACCTCTCGTTCTTTCTTTTTTCTTTCATTTAATCCTCACCCGAGATCATTTTTTAAAATAGCTTGTAGAGAGAAAGTGAAAGGAATATCGATGTGAGAGAGAAAAATCCATTGGTTTTCGTCTTCTACTCTCCATGACAGGGGATCGAACGCGCAACCTAGGTATGTGCTGTGGCAGGGAATTGAACCTGCCACCTTTCAGTCTGTGAGACAATGCTCCAACCGACTGAGCCACAGCGGCCAGGGCAGTGCCTTGCTTCCCGAGTTCCACAAGCAGACCTGGAGGAGAAGCTGGGGCCGTGAATTCCCAACACGCCAGAGCCAGGCCCTTGTCCCTAACCATTCTGGGCACCTCTGCTCCAATCACCTCCTGTATCCATTAAAAACAGATTTCCAAGGGGAGAAATAGATACAGACATTTGGCTTTCGAACTGAAAGTCAGAAAAGGGTAGCCTCCATTTTGTAAAAATAGTACCTAACGGTCGGAACTTCAGGGTGGGGATGAGAGTGGGATGGGAATTAAATAATAGAAAAACACCAGGAGGGTGGCCTCATTTTATTCTCCAGACCATGATGTAGCTCTAATGGGTTCTCTGTAAAGCTTAAAAAAGGCCTTGTTAGGTCTCAGACTCTGAGAGGGAGTAATGAAGAACGAGGGGAGGAGGAGACTCTAGGTGTTGCCCTTGGCCACCACCACCTTGGACTTGGTACCTCCATCCTTTGCATCTGAAAAACTAGCTTCAGCTTCCCCTCTGCCCCCACCTCCTGTTTGGTCAGACTGCAGACGCCGTCTGCCCAGGCTCCTGGCTCTGTGCCCCCTGCACCTAGGGCTCCCCTGCCTGAGCCTCAATAGACAGAGTGAGCCTCACAACGCCGCAGCTCGACTTCAGTTCCCACTTCTGAGTGGCATTGTACACCATTCCCGGGGAGCCTGAGCCCTGCCTAGGAGAGAGCTGGACGTTCAGCCAGCGACACTGGGCCCTGTCACACGCGAGCACGACAGTGCCTTCGGGATTGCTGTAGACGCACTGGTGCCGGGCTGCCTGTTCCTTCGCAGACAGATCCCAGCTGCCCCGCAGCTCCCTGTCCTCCAGCCCCAGGGCCTGGAAGTCCGAGTGGTCATGGCTGACAGGGCACACCAGCTGCTCCTTCTCCAAAGCAGGCACCACTTGGCCCTTCAGGTAGGCAGGACCCGCACAGTAGGTCTGGGTGTTGAAGAACCTATCATTGTACTCGTGCAGCCAGCTAAAGAGGTAGGCCAGGTGGCAGTCACACTGCCAGGGGTTGCCACGCAGGGCGAGCTTGAACAGGTTGAAGTTGGTGCCAAAGATGCCCTCCGGGAGGGTGGTCAGGAGGTTCCTGGAGAGGCTGAGCAGCTCGAGCTTGGACAGGCTCTGGAAGAGGTCTACGTGCAGGGCTGTCAGGTTGTTGCTGCCCAGGTAGAGATCGGTCAGCTCCTCTAGGTCCCTGAAGACGCCGGCCGGGAGATAGGTAATGGCATTGTGTGAGAGCGTCAGGGAACTGAGGTTACACAGTTTGGCAAAGACTCCCTCGGGGACAGTCTCCAGCCGGTTGTGGGACAGGGCCAGGCCAACGAGTCTTGGGGTGTGGGCAAAGAGGCCAGCGGGCAGCACGTGCAGTGCATTCTCCTGTAAGTTCAGGAAGGTCAGGCTGCCCAGGGAGGAGAAGACGGAGGGCGGCAGGTGCCGGATGCCGTTGCGCTGCAGCCACAGCTTCTCCAGGCAGAAGAGCTGTGAGAACACTTCCGGGGGCAGCTCCAAGATGGAGTTGTGGTCCAGGAAGAGCTCCTGTAGGCTGCCCAGCTTGGCGAACACGCTCTGGGGCAGGCTGGACAGCTTGTTGTTGTTCAGCCTCAGGGTCTGCAGGCTGCCAAGAGGGTAAAACAGCTCCTCGGGCAGCTGGGCCAGGAGATTGTGAGCAAGGTTGAGGGTCTTCAGGTGTTTCAGAGACTGGAAGAGCCTCCGGGGCAGGGTCTGGAGCTGGTTGTCCTGCAGCTGAAGGGACTCCAGGGCATCCATGTGGTGGAAGAGGTCCTCGGGCAGAACCTTCAGCATGTTGAAGTTGAGGGTGAACGTGCCCAGTGAGGCCAAGTTGGAGAAGATCTCAGTGCTGAGGTTGGAAAAGGTGCTGCCAGTGATCTCCAGGTCCTGGAGCCTGGGCAGTCCGCCAAAGGCATCTGGCTCAAAGTGGCAGACCTGGGTGTTGAGGAATACTACCTTGGTTAGGTTGGGGCTGCCACTGAAGGCCCTGGTTCCGACCGTGGTGAACGAGGTCTCTATGAAGACCATGTCCGTGGCATGGGGTGGGATGTTCAGTGGGATGGTGGCCAGTGCTTCATCAGTGCAGAACACCTTCTGGTCAAAGCAGTCACACCCCACGGGGCAGGGCCGGGCGAGCCTGGCCAGGAGCAGGAGGCAGGCCCAGTGCAGCCAGGCTCCAGGAAGCATCTCCTGGATCTGCGTGGGGAGAAAAAACAGAGGTGGTGCCTTTATTGAGGGCTGCGCATCTTGTGGACAGGCGCACCAGATGGGGAGCCAGAGGACGGGATTAGCTGTCAGGGAGGCTAGCCTTTTGGATGGAAGTTGATGTTTTTAATGGCTTTCATGCCACCTCAAAGCAGTCTTGCAAGCTTAGTGGGACCAGGGTTCTAACCTCCTGACTGTCACATGGCCTGCCCGCAGTCACCTTGCCTCTGAGTGGCAGGACCAAGACCCAGGTCTCCTGTGTTCTTTCCAGATTGGAGAAGCAGGCAGAAAGGCATGGAAGAGAGATATAAAAGACTCCAGGCAGTGTGGAATTTTAAAGATAATATGTAAAATATGGGCAGATTATTCCTGAACTGGAAATTTTTAAACCATACTCTTCCCAAGTTTCCAAATATCGGTATATTCCAGAGCCTAATTGTGAAGAGATCTTACCATCTGCTTTTTGCCCATCTCCTGAGGGATAAAGCAGCCTCAGTGGCAGGACTGCTATGTTGGAACAAGTTCGCGGACTCCTTGGTACTGCGGCCAGGATGCGGTCCTCCTGCCCTCCGCATCCCAGCCCCACTGCCATGGAGACCACGGGGCTTCCCACACGATGGACAAAGCCGGGTCCCAGATGCAGGGATTCCACAGCCAAGTAAGTTTAGTCTTGGCAGTTTTGTTTTAATTAAAGGAGGGAGACCAGATTTTTAGTTTTCTAAATATGATTTTTTTCTTAGAAAATAAAATACCAGCATCCACCGACAGGTCACAAGTTGGTGACTCAGCTTACAATGTGTTTTGTTTATGTCTCGGTCTTTTTATGCATGGACCATTAGCCAAAAAGTAAACCCTGAGATATCACATTAAAAGTCTAGATTTCGGGAAGATTTCGGGGCAGTGGACTCACGTTCCTACACAACAAAACCACCTGGGGCCCCATTAGGGCAGGCGCACCTCCCGGGTTACTGCTGTTCCCACCTGCATCTTTATCTGCATGGCTTGTACTGGTTCAGATCCCATAAGCTAGAATTCCAGACCCATCCCATCCCAGCTCTGTGACTTTGGGCTTGTTACTTGATTTGTCTGTGCTTCAATTTTTTATCTGTAAAATGGAGATAAAAATAGTGCCTATTGCGTTATGGTGATTGAGGAATAAATGGGTAAATATAGGTAAAGGTTTAGATTAGTGTGTGAGATAAAGTGAGCAATTAATAAAACTACGTTAATTATTGGTAAAGGTCCCAAGCCACCATTGTTACAGAAAAAACTACTTGAACACCAAAAAGGGAAGAAAAACAAAATGCCCTTTAGATAGACTACATTTGAAAGAAAGGGAGGGAGGGAGGAAATACCCTCAGTACCATAATCCTAATTCTTCTCAATGCACCCGTCTGCAGTAAGAACTCACAACTGGCCCCTTGCTGCCTCTCTGCCGCCCTCTTCCGGCTGCCACCTCCATCTCAAGATCCAGCTTCAGGTTAAAGGGCTTCAGGTACAGAAGACTCTCGCAAACATTGTGCTCATAAAAACCCCTGCACCCTCCTCCCATTCAGACACTCAATAACTCTCAGTTCTTCCAGGAGTCTTTCAGCTGAATCAACAGAGAAGGGACCATTTTTTCCCCGAGAAAGTGAGCACCTCTGTTGAGGCTCCCCCAATGCACACACAGCCACTGATCCTACACAAAACTCCCAGGGATCCTGACAGACGCCTTCCCGGGCCAGAAACGAGGCCCCTGCTGGTGTACTTCTCTCCCTTAGCACCAGCACAGGCCTCTGAAATGAAGGACGCCCATGGCTGTCCTTTTCACGGGAAGACAGCTGTCTTCCCCCCGAACACTCAGAGCCCAGCACGTGTTGATTTAGGAGGCACTCGGTTAGTGGTGGTGGAACTGAACTCTCTGCAGCTGACACGGGCAGCCTGGGAGGCAGACCTGCCAGTCCCTGGAATGGCTCAAGCCCAGAGTGAATGACCCCCAGCCAGGCTGGGGAAACGGCCTTGAATCCCCACCATCCCTTCAGGAAACCTGGGAGAAAGCCAGGGAGCGAAAATCTCCTGGGGATCACATGTCCCACGCGCCCAGCCAGCCTGACAAGATGTCCCCTCTTCCCCAGGTCTGTGCCTCTAACTTCTAATCGACTGTCACTGGGAAATATATGGTTTAGCATTTTCCAACGAAAGCAGTAACTTGAAATTCAGAATTTGAATAAAAACAATGACATCAATCACACAGAAAATCAAGTGGAAACAAATCAGCTTCAACTCAGGCAGAAGTGGGTGAAGGAGGTGACGGGGAACCTCTCTGATGTGGGGGGCAGAGCTGAGGGGGCTGTTCCCACCTCCTAATTCCCAACGCTCCCACGTATACCTCTCGATACCCAGCGCAAATCTAGAAGGACCCAGAACAGGGAAGCTGTGGATCCCAGAGCCACAGCAACTGGTCCAAGGGCACACAGCTGAGAAGAAAGTGGCCAGGATCAGTCCTGGTGGCCTGAGTTCCAAGCAAAGTGCTTGCTGGGACACCCTGGGTGTGGCTTCCATACCAAGGCAGTGAGGTGGGTGGGGGCAGGCAGGCCCGCTCCTCACATTTGCAGGACCCACAGTGAATATACACAAGGGACCTCGCCAACTGTCTGTCACCTGCACTTCCCCCCAACTCTCTCCAGCACTGTGAGTAGAGACCTCACACGCACGTCTGTGAAGCAGCTGTCTTGAGGAAGATGGACTTGAAAGACAAGAGACTTAAGCTCTGGGTCCTGAGTACTTAAAGCCTGGTTTAAAATGGGGCACAGCCCTGGCTGGGTGGCTCGGTTGGAGTGTCATCCTGTACATCAAGAGGTTGTGGGTTCGCTCTCTGGCCAAGGGACGTACCTAGGTTGCAGGTTCAATTCCTGGCAGGGGTGCATACAGAAGCAACCGATCAATGTCTCTCTCTCACATCGATGTTTCTCTCTCCTTCCTCTCTCTCTAAAATCAATGAAACACATCCTCAGGTGAGGATTAAAAAATAATAAAATAAAATGGGGCATAGCCTCTGATGGGCATGTCCCTCTGGTCTTGCAAACTTCTCACCCCTTGGGGTATCATGGAGGGAGCAGGACCAGAACAGAGCCTTTGAAGTTCCAGGCATGACCCCTCTTGTCCCAGTCTACTGTGCTGGGAGGAAGCAGGGGACGGTACTCACAGGGAGGCTGTTGAACACTGATAATTTCCAAAAGACCCACACCTGATCATTCACATCAGTCTACAATGGTTCAGAGTTTGTACTCTGGAGTCAGACAGTCTGGGTTCAACACATATCTCCATCCCTTATTAGCTGTGTGGCCTTAACTGAATTACCTAACCTCTCTGTGCTTCAATTTTCTCATCTTCAACACAATGAGCTTCGATGCTTCCTTCCTCGTGGGGTTGTTCTGAGGACCAAATGAGAAAATGCACTGAGAGCTCCAAGCCCAGAGCCTGGCCCCAATGTACACTCGGCAACACCAGCCACCCTGATTGTTCTGGGTCAGGCCAGCCCCAGCCTCAGCTTTGTCCTGAGTCATCATGGAGGTTGGCTAGGGAGTAACTGGCAAGATCACTCAACCACCGCATTTATGGATGAGCAAGGTTTGTAACGGTCTGCAGCACTTTTTCTGGCTCTTTCCTTCCAGTTCAGGAAAACATGTGATTGTTCTGTCCTTGGTTTAGCTGAGCACAGATTCTAATGACTCCAGTAAGGATGCCCCGGCCTTGGGTCCCTTCCCCAGTCCACTCTCCAGAGCACATCACTGGGCACTCTAGAGATGGGAAGTGCTCCTTCCTAGACACTGTGGAGGATGGCCACAGGGGACGCTGGGGCAGCAGCCAGAAGACTCCTGCTTCCCATCTGAAAAGCCACCTCTGCATTTGTACAGAGGCCAGAAATGCCCACAAAAATGTTCCATGTTCTCAGCAAGCCTGGTTTGGGTTTTCTGGGGGGTTTTGCAGGGTGGAGGATTGGGGGGCAAATACTGGTTGCAAATGAACTCTTTCCTCTTCTCAAATTGCCTTTGGGTTGGTACATTTCTGTGTGTGCACAAGCCAGCCAGTCTATCATCCACCACAGAGCTAACACTCACTCCTTCCAGAGGGTGATGGGAGCCCAGAGCCCTTGCCCACTTCGCCCAGGCCTCCGGGGGGGACCTGCTGCTCCCTGGACCTCAGTCTCTGCCCCTCCCAACCCAAGAAAATAAGCCAAGTGGCAGTGAAGTAACCCACAGAGTCCCAGTTTCTGCATTTGAAAATTAAGAGCAATCGTGATAATAGTAATACTAGCTAAATTACATCACTGTTAGGGTTATTGGGGCCAGTAAAGAAAAAGAAAATTTCTCACCCCTGGGGCGCCATAGCATTGGGTGTGTGATGTTGTAATATAATCAGATACATAGAGTTGGGCTTCATCCTGGTTCCTAGCACAGAGCTCCAAAAACCCTTGGAATGTCCTGACTGACAGGAGAGGAGGAGCATCTTTTGTTATTCCTAATAAGCCCCTTTCAACCCGCACCGAGTTCATGTAAATGAAGTGACTCTGGGTGGATGCCCCCATAGCTTCAGATTATACACAAAATATTCGCTGTGATTATTTCTGAGCAATGGGATTTCCAGTGATTTTTTTCCTTTTGCTAAATCATATACTTTGTACACTTTTAAAGTAAAAAGGAACTACTTTTGTGATAACATTGAAAGTTACTATAAAAATTAAGATGACCGTGTGGGAAACAGCACAGTTCCGGGCACACAATAGAGGCTTCCTAGATATTTTCCCTTTCTCAAAGCAAAGGGAAATATTACAAAGCAAAGGTTCAGAGGAGCTTGTCCATCACTGCCGCAGCATTCCTGAAGGGAAGAAAGCTCACGTTCCAAAATAAGAGGGGCCCTGAACCCGGCACAGAGAAGCGCCCCCACCGGCCCGCTGCGTGGGACGGAACGCGCGCCTGGCCGCGTCTGAGTTCAGGTTCTGGCGCTGCCCTCTGCTCCCGGCTGCCTGCGGTGTCTCTGGCAGGCCACCGCATCTTTTTAAGCCTCAATGTCTTTACCCATAATCAGAACCCCATTACTTCGGGTTAAATTCGTACTCAGGTGCACGCTCAATACATTAAATTAGGCTGTCAGTATAAAGCATTTGACACCGCGCCTGACAGCATGTGTTCAATAGCAGGTAGCTGATCACACACTTCGTTCCTAAAGTGACTCCGCGTTCTACCGCCGAACCAGCATGCTTCCGAAGCCAAAGGGGTGCTGCTGATAATTGGGCCAGGGCGACAGGCACACACCGGGTGGGACCCGGCAAGCCCGGGGAACGGCACCCTGCTTGTTCCCATCGCACCCCATTCACTAGGAGCTCCCTGAGTGCAAGGACCAGGTCGCCTTCATCTCGGAATCCCCCTCCTGCACCTGCCTCCTGCCTCATTCAGCACAGCATCACCCTGGGGGAGAGGCTTCTTCTTCCCTGCAGGGGAACAGGGATACTTCAGTCTGCGGGAGTTGGGGGCATGCTCCGGAGCCAGGGAGGAGTAGCCAGCTCCCTGCCTGCCCCTCAGCCAGGACTCCAGATCCCTCCCACGCCCCCGCAGACCCAGGAGCCCCACGGGGACTCTAGGAGACCTACCGTGAGGGGCTGGGCCGGCGAGGACCTACTGCCCCGGCTCTTCCTTGGGAGCAGAAGGGTATGCGGTGTGGTCTGCGGTCAGCGTGGACCCAGCAGCCCGGAGCCGATCAGAGTTCCAGGAAGGGGTTCCGCCCCTCACGTGGCCTGAGTATTCCCGGAATGTCACCCAGGTCAAAGGAGATCAGAGTCTGGGACAAGGCCTCTGAATATTACAAAACGATCCCAAAGTGCCCCTGCACGTGGGCAGATCGCCAGTGGGGCCAAAATCCACCTAAGGTCACCAGCTTGGCACCCTTTGGACACCAGGGCACCCACTAGGCCATAGAAAGTTCCCTGTAGGCCCCTCCAGGACTGAGACCTGGGACCGGTCCACACTCACACCCCTGCTTGCGAAGGCCCGGCTGGTCCCCAGGAGCCAGACCTCAGCTGGAGAGCCAGACCCGGCCCCTGCTTGGCTCTCAGCACCAGGGGCAAATCTAAGAAGGTTGTGGGTTTATTGGTTAGTTAGTTAGTTAGTTAGTTAAATAAACTAACTTTCTAAACCCTTTCTGCTTTAAAAAGGGGAAAAGACTTGAGGTGGATTTTGGCCTAACATCGAGAGGAACATTTTCACCTTATCCAGGGATGAAAGTTGTTTTAGGAGGCAGTGATTTTCCTGTCTGTGGAGCCAGTCACACAGGGGCTGCAGAATGAAGTGAAGAGTGTGTGTGCACATGTGTGTGCATGTGCACGTGTGTGTGTGCACCTGCAGGGTGCAGGGCAAAGGGATGACCTACAAAAGCAATCTAAGATCAGTTTCAATGCCCAGATTTTACCATTTAAAGTACTCTCTTGGCTTTCAAACTTACTGCATGATATCCATGTTTTTGTCACTCTTTTTCAAATCCAAACTAATGTACATTTTTTGCACGTGAGCAGGTTTCATCAGCCAAAGTGCAAAGGCCTGACTGAGGGTGGCAAGGAAGCATTTTTCTGTGGAGACACAATACCAGCCCACACTGTGGCAAAGAAGGGAACGTGGAAGAAGAGAGGAAGGCTGTGCATTCGACGCTCCAGCCCCACCCTCAGTGGTGCCCTGGATGGCTGAGGGGGGGGCGAGTGCACCTCCTCAGGAGACTCACAACTGAGCCGAGGGGCCTGCCGCAGGAGAGCGGTCCGTTCGTCCGTCCGTCAGTGTCGGGGGAACAGCAGGAACTCAGCATCCCACAGATCTGGGTGTGGGTCCTGGCTCCTCAGCTAACTGGCCTGGCCTTGCACAAGTTATTTAATCTCTGCAAGTCTCTTCATTCTCATCTGTGAAATGGGTGTGGCAGGGGCCTGGGGAGACGTGTGCGTGCACACGTGTCAAATTAAAGTACAGGTGTGTGCAGCTGGAAGGACATGTGTGCGTATGTGGAGGCACCACTTGCCTCCAGAACCCCAGAAATCTTCTGGGAGATGGGGTGAAGGTTCTAACTCCTTCTCCCATTGTGCAGTGGTTAGGGAAGGACACCAAGGCCCCATCCCTAGTCATCGAAGGGGTCCAGCCCCGTGATATGGTGAACACACTGCTGACAACTGTCTCGGTCCAGCCTCCCGGAACAGGCTTCCCACCGGCAGAAGGGATCTAAGAACTAGGAGATCCAGGAAAATACGGTTTGTAGCCCCTTTCCTGGGCATGGTGATGGGGTGTAGGAGCAGCGGAGAGGACCAGCTTCCTCTTCAGAACTGGAGCTCCACCAATACCTGTGACAGCCCCTGGAACCTGGAGACCTGAAATAGTCCTGGGGCCACCAGGACACTTGGAGGGTGTCACCTTTATTCAGACAGTGTCTTCTGAGAGGCTCTGACTCTCTGAGCCTGGTGCTAAGCACTGACAGGAGTCCAGAGGTGCTGGTGGTCCCACCCACATTGGCCTGTGTGCGTGTGCGTGTGTGTGTGCATGTGCATGCACGTGCATGCATGGGTACCTCAAACAAACACTGAGTGAACCTGAGTGCCTCTTTGGTGACATACAAGAAGCTCCAGCTGGACGTCCGGAGGTCTGGTTGTATGCAAGCCCACAGCCACCAGCCACCTCCCATCTCGACCACACTTTCTTCACCCATAAAATGAGTCGAACTAGTCTTAAGGCCCCTTCCACTCACAGTGGCCTATAGCTACTTTTGTTATTCCACTTTTGGTCCCCACTCACTTTCCAAAGATCTTTCCCCATCCCAGAATCAATTCTCTGTGAGGAGCTGTCTGTGCGGATCAGCCCTGCACACATGTGAGAAGAGCAGAATTACCAGGTGTGAGATCCCACAGCCAAGACATCCATATGACAGCACATGTTCTGTGTATAGCATTTATTGTTGATTCTGAACACCAAATTTGTTACATGCAGCATCTGGCGAAGACAGAGCCCCAGCAAAGATGGACCCCCAACCCTGCCCACCAGGGTTCATACTCTGCAAAACCCTGGGGACATAGAAATCTCTAAATGCATCAATCACCAAGCTCCTGGGATTATTTGCAATGATTCTCTAAGCAAGGCAAGCATGATCTACTTTTGAAGGCAGCATGAAGGCTCCAGGTTGGTGAGAACAATCCATCCTTCAGGGAAGGAGAGAACTCAGACCATGAGGACTTTGGCCTAAAGAACACCCGCCCACCCTCTCTGAAATGGCTTTCTCCCCAAGACTACCACCACCTCCCCAACAACCCACATTCAGTTCTGACTGGGGGGTCCGTGGCCTGAATTCTCTGAGAGGTTTGTGGCAAAAGGCTGGGATATATCCCTTATTAACCAACTCTAGTCATCTAGTTATCCTGAGCTGACTGCTCTCCAAACACTTCCTGAGTTTAGAAATAGATTCCTGTAGCTGCTCTGTGTGGCATCTGGAAGGCTGTGAAAACCGTGGTTACCCACGAAGAGTTCTGAGAACTGTGCTGCACCTTTAAATTCTAAAGAAGGAGACCATGTACACACAGCTCAACAATTTCCAAGAGAGGGGTCAATTTTTCTTTAATGGATGGATGAGTTTAATTTTTCCCTGTATTTACAAAGTTTTTGGTCCACACAGTACCAAGTGAGGTTTCAGTGGTTAAGACTCTGGGGAACAAGAGGAGAGTGACTCTCCTTTTCTTTGGTTTCACGGTGAAAGCCCAGGACAGGCCATGAGGTCTTGTGCGAAGTTTAAAGAGAGAAGGAAAACCTGCGACGTTCTGAATAAAATCATGGAAGGACGACAGTTGTAGACCCTACCACAAGGGGATAAGCTGTTGCTCATGTGCAGGGGTGCCGTGAGGGTTAGAAAAGAAAATGCCTGTTAAGTGCTTTAAAGGGTAACTATGCACAGTAAGCATTTTTGAAAAACACTGGTTCCAGCTGGCTTTCATTATCTTTCCTGCAATGCTGAGCCTCCACTCCACATGCAGGCTACTAACACTGGCAAGCCAACCTAGAAGCCAGTGAGGAGAGATGGACTCTGTGCCCTATCTCAGCATTGGGCGGCAGGGGGCAGGGGTGGTGGCCAAGTGACTCACTCAAGCTCTGAGATGTGGGCAAATGCGTTGTCCTGTTGGAAAGAAAACTACCCGGCTTTTCTGGCAGCTCCCTGACCAGACAACATGGTTCAGAGAAGCGTGAAGACCTGTCAAGGAAGAGGAGGCTGGATGGCTCCATCCAATCCATTCTGACGGCAAAACGGAACAGGCAAGCTCAGAAGGCCAGATAAAGGGTCTACTACCCCCACCTGCTCCTGGGTGGGGTCATCTGAGCACAGTCGTCCCCAGGCCAGCGCTTTGGCTTGGGAACACAGGTTGACACTGTGGGCCAGAGGGGAAGGCACTCCAATGTCATAGCCAATGCTGGAAGTACCCAGGGGTTCTGGGTGCAGACTGGCAGGACACACTGGACGAAGAGGACCCTTTCCCACCTCTCTGCCACCACTGGCCCACTTGTGCTGTTGCACAATGAGACACTGGTGCCAACTCATAAGGAGCACCCTGAGGAAGGCAGTGCCAAACCGTGCTTCCTGTCTGAAACAGAGACGGCTGAACTTCCTTCTCTGGCCTTGGGATCAATATGGCTGACTACCATCAGTGGAACGATGCTCATGCCCCAAGCTCTGAGCTCTCTTCCTTTCAGGCCCCAGCAAGCCTTGGTACATGTCTACCAGTTGCTACAAATATTTTTAAAACATTTTGGAGACCTAGATTTGCCCTGTGATGTCTTTTGCCTCTGACAAGCCCTATCTTTCCCAGATTCTCTGGGACAGAGAGTCAAAAGCTACCAACAGCACTAGCTCTTGTGCACATCTATTTCTGCCCTATTTTGGGGATCTGTTGGCATCATTCTGCTAAGGCCCAAGAAGATTTGTCTTATGGGGCAGAGGAAACCAGTAAGAGCCAATCAGGATTAATGGCAGATTTCCAAATCTTTATAGTGTTGGTTGTTCTTTCCTGGGAAGACGTGGACATCTGAAATCCTCCATTTAGAACTTTTACTTCTAAATTGGTAGACCAGTTGTCCACAGAAAGATACTCATCACTGTGAACATAATTTACCAGTGTGAATATATATGTAGAAGGAAGGATGGCAGAGGCTGCTATTCCTGTTATTGTAACTCAAGGGGAGAATAGCCAACAGAAGAAGAAAGAACTCTTATCACCAGACCACAGGGAAGAGCTGCTCTAGAGATCCCCCAGGCCCAGTGTGACCTATTTGCAAATCCTGACATTTCCTGATATATATAAGAATTCTGAAGTTCAGTTTCTAGCTGACTGTAATGCTGATGGAGAATTTTGCCACCACATGAGAGGGATTGCTGAGTTCCATTACACTTGGCTGTTCAATGAAAGGATCTCATCTCTGAACTATTTAACTTCTCCCAAGTGGGGGGTGAAAATTAAAAACAGATATAGGCATATCATGCCCATAAAAGGTCCAGGCAGAAGAGCCTCCAGTGAACAGCAGACGGCTTGTTGGCAAGGAAGGGCGTGTGGTTGTTGACATACTTCTGACCTGGCCAATTGGAGTGCCTCAGGGCCCGGGGATTTAATAAAGTCTGCTGTCCTGGCCCGTGTGTACCCACATCTTCTCCTCCACCCCTGGTAGCTAGATCTTTGCAAGGGCTGAGAGGGAGGAGGGGCAGTGGAGGGCTCATCCTGACCCACAGGGGGCCAGTTCCCAGGGAAGCACATACCGTCTCCATAAGCCCCAGTCTTCTCCAGTAAAAGCCCAGGAAAAGGGATACTGGCAACATCCTGTTTCTTGATCTGGATGCTGATTACAGGGTGTGTACAGTTTGTGAAAATCCATCAAACTATATACTTTCACGCCCCCACTTTTCTGTATTCATGTTATCCTTCAATAGACAATTAAAAAAGAAAAATCCCAGGAGTAGATACAGGTACCCACAGGTACCAGGCTGCTTTCTCTGCCCAGTACCAATAAGCTGATTTTAGCATTTTTTAGGGGTCATAAATTCTACATGATTTTATTCCTTAAAGGACTAAAAACTTAAAAGCAAAGTTTGCAGCTTGGAAACATCATTCCCTAAAAGGCTGAACTGGTTGCACTGGTGCCTTTCCTCCTTTTCCAGATAAAAAGCATGAGAGATGCTGATGATGGCTCTGTCTCCAGAAACTGAGCAGCAGCCTCTTCCTCTCTCTTTCACAGCATCCTGAGAGCCAGGGTGCTTGGCAGTTCTTAAGAAACCAGCTAAATGGCTTGAAGCCTTCTTTCAGGAGCAGACAATCAAAGGAGAACTTCATTAGTAGTGACAGGGTAGAGCCATGCCACAAACAAGAAGAGCCAAAGAAGGGAAATCAACTTACAGAATAGTTGGGAGAGAGGCTGTCCCAGTGGAGAACTATTTCCACAAAGTGAGCAGGCATGTAATGAATAAATCTGTAGAAGCCAGTAGGGGTGCGGGCACAAGGAAGGTTGTTCTCAGAGGATTGCTGGTGAGGCTTTAGAGGAAGGGCTTTTTTTCTAGGAAGCCCAGGGATGTGAATTGGAAACCTTGCAGGGCTAGATCTCTCTGGTGGTGAGAAGGTCCTGCAAGAGCAGGTCAGGAAAAGATGGGGATCCCTTCCTCTCAGGAACCAGAGAGAGGGAGCAGGGGATGGCTCCGTGGACCCACGGGCAAGGATCGAAAGATGAAATTCCCAGTACCTCCAGCAGTTCCACCATTCCCTAGCCCTGCTTCCAGCCTGCCTCTTTAACACTCATTGGGTGCCTTCATCTGCATCAGGACCGCCTGGCTCCTCTCCTTACAGCAGCAACAGCAGATGCAGGCAGCTAGGGAACAGGCCAAGGCAATGATACCAATGACAATGGCAGCAATGGCCAGCCCACTCTGGGCCCTGGTCACCACACTGCGGTCCTCAGTGATCTTAATGGTGGTCAGATCAGTGAAGTCTTCCGTAGGTCTAATGAACTGAGTAGTGGAAGCGATGGAGGTGGATTCAGTATAGCTGGGTGTACTTGGGTACTGTGGTGTTTCCGGGTAGCTGGGCACCTTGGGGGTCACTGGAACCTGGGCACTGGGGACAATGGTGTTGATGTTGACAATGATGAGGGACTGGCCTCGGACACTGGCTGGGCTGAAACACACCGGGAGGGTGTCTGTCCCCAACCTGGATTTGCTGAGCAAGAGCCAGTTGCGTAGTGGAAGGATGTCTGAGTCACACCTCCAGGGATTGTCATAGAGGTGAAGCTCACATAGGTTCCCCAGGCGATCAAAGATGCCCAACGGCAGGTTCTCTAGCTGGTTGTTCTGCAGCTGAATGGTCATGAGGCCATTGACATTAGCAAAGATATTCCCTGGAAGCTGTCTGAGGCGGTTGTTCTGCAGGGAGATGTTCTGCAGGTTGGTCAACATGCGGAAGACATTCTCGTCCAGCTCCTGCAGCCCATTGGTGTGGAGGGACAGCTCCCGCAGCTCTGTCAGCCCGTTGAAGGCACCGGGGGAGATGTTGCTGATCTGGTTGCGACTGAGGATCAGGACCTGCAACTGGCGGAGGTTGCTGAAGATATTGTCAGGTAGAGAAGTGAGGTGGTTGTCATAGAGCCAAAGCTCTCGAAGGTTGTGCATGGGCCCAAAGATCCCTGGAGAGAGTTCCTTCAGGGAATTCCCAAAGAGGGTGAGACGGTTGAGCTGGGGGAGCTGCATGAAGATACCGATGGGCAGGTGGGAGATGTGGTTGTTGGACAGATAGAGATTCTGGAGGTTACGGTTGTTGTGGAAGAGGCCAGGGGAGAGTACACCAATCTGGTTCTGCTGCAGGGCCAGTTCCTGAAGGTTGTTCAGCCCATCAAAAGTGCCTACGGGGATGTCTGAGAGCCTGTTCTCACACAGCCGGAGGACCTGGAGGTTTCCCAGGCGCTGGAAGACCCTGGGCGAGAGTTGGGTAAGGCTATTCTTACATAGATTGAGCTTGTTAAGGACCACCAGGTGGTCGAAGACGCCGTCAGGGATGTGTTCCAAGTAGTTGCCATGCAACTGCAGCTCCTTGAGGTTGCTGAAATGGGTGAAGTGTGCCGGCTGGATCTGCGCCAGCTGGTTGCTGGACAGGAGGAGCGACTCAAGATTGTCCAGGCCCTGGAAGAGGTCGATAGGCAGAACCTGAAGCTTGTTATTGGCTAAGCTGAGGTAACGCAGTGAGCCCAGGTTGCGGAAGGCACCAGGCATGATTTGGGACAGCTCATTCTTCTCAATCCTCAGGGCAATAAGGGCCGAGATGTTGAGGAATGGGGACTCGTTGAGTTCGGTGATGTGTGTGTTGAGGATCTGCAGGCTCATGGCATTCCAGGGCAGAGGGGTGGGCACCACCACAATTCGTGCCCCCGTGCACTCCACCTGGGAGGCCCTGGAGCAGGTACACTCGCTAGGGCAGCCATAATAGGCCAACCCAGCACCCCAGACTTGGCAGCCCACCAACAAAAGGAGATAGTGTTTCAGTGGCATGGCCTGTACAAGGGGAGAGAGCACATGAGTCAGGGTCATATCACCAACACCGCAGTAGGTTTTAAGCCAACATCAATCTTTGGTATCAAAAACTAGCTTGCCTTTGAACCCCATCAGCACATACCCAACTTATGCTCCCAGTGGTCTGGTCACTGAGTCTCTTTGCCTTCCCCCACACCTCCTTACTACCATGCCTTTGCCCAAGCCATCCCCTTCACCAGGAATGCTCTTCAACCTCACCCAAATCTTTCTTATACTTCCAAGTCTAGCTCAAATGCAGTCACCTCCAGGAAGCTTTCCCAGTTTCCATGAATCAACACTAGCTACCCTCCATGCAAATGGTCTTCCCAACCTCCACTGTGGCCCACACCACAGCCAGCTCTGAATGACATTTGTTCCCCTCTGCCTCCTTCATTAGTCAATAAGCATTTCAAGGGCAAGGATGTTCATCTTTTATCTCTATAGGTTCCTTAAGGCAGCCACAGTATCTCATCTACCACTGTATCCCTCATAGAATCTAAACTTGCTATTTGAACATAGTTCCTCAGGAGAGATGGGGAGGAAAAAGAACAAATAAATAGGGTCTGAATCTGGGAAAAGATGTTAAGGCCATAAACATGGTGGCCTGCTGGGAGGAGACATGGCAGCTAGCAGGAGTAAGACCACTCTGCTGATCTGGTGGAAAAGACCACAGGAAGCTGGACTATTTCTCTCCCTGGGCCCCCCAACCCCCACCCCACTTCACCCCACCCCATCCCACCCCGTGACCACTGTCAACAACCTGTCTCTTTGTTAATGTGTTTCAGATGTGCTTCATTTAGGTTTTATTTCAAACAGCCTTCCCAATAAAAGGACATTGCCTGCGCCACCTCCTGTCTCGCTGAAAGGGGCTACTGTGACTCAGCCTATGCCTTGGGTCTCCCCTCTGGGGGCTAGTCCACAAAGAAACATGGAGTGGCCTTGATTTTGATTAAGTCCCAAAAACTTGGGATGCACTTTGAGCTAAAAGGTGGCAGGTCCAGATGTTCCTGTAGGCATGGAACCAAATGCCTAGAATGGGGCCAAATTCACAAAGGCTTAGTGTTTGAGGTCAGGGATGATGATAACTTTATATAGATACAAAATGTATAGAACATGGAGACATGGGACATGAAGACTGGTCCCTGCACTGAATAGCTAAGGTCCTCTATCCAGCTGTTTGACCTTGAATGAAGTGTGAGGCCTCCTTCATCATCTGTTGAGTAGGGATGGTCATCTCTGCCCCCTCTTGAGGATGTTGTGAGGAACAAATGGGAGACTGAATGTGAGATTGTCTGTGCAAATGTGTGCAGCTGTTCCAAGCTCATGCACGACATGAACTTCATAGACAGGAAGGCCTCAAAGTGCTTCTGATCTTGGCATTCTTAGTCAAGGAACTAAGTATTTCTGTGTATATGTATATGTAGAGCATCTGTACTTTCTATCTGAGGATCAAAAGGATCTCTAACTCGGAAAGGATTAAGAACTGCTGATCATATATTCCCATCAGTTTATGGGGAATGTGGGAAGGAGGGAGATTGAGGCTCAGAGTGTAAAGCCCAGAGTTCCAAGTGCCTGGGTGAGTACTTTGACTATTAAGGCAGTGCCTCTCCTTTTTAATGAGCAAAAACCCTGAGTCAGAGGAAGGAGTTTCAGGTGAAAGCATATGAAGCATAAACTGGGTGGGTGGAGAAGGTATTTCTCTGGTTTCATTTTGTTCCCCTGAACTCATGGAGTCCTGAGTCTGGCCCATAATTCAGAATAATCCAGGCTTTTCAATCTGGCTTCAGCTCAATGTTCCCCTTCCCTGCCTCCCAACAAGCTTGATCGGATGACGAAAAGCACCCACACCTTGATTTTTCACTTGTTCATAGCACATCCAAGCCTTAACCTTCTGTACGTTTGCATTAAGGTCTCAATTAATTATGTAGGACAGGGGAGAAAAGAAAGAAAAAATAATAACTTGGCCAATGAAGTCCAGTGCAAAGAAATGGGGCCAGATTAAGCCATGGACACATCTAAAAAGATGAATTTACATAGGCAGATGTCAGGTCCAGTCTTAAGAACAGAATATAAATAGCTTACACAGGGGGCCAGAAAAAGGAACTCAACATCCACCCCAGGGGAAAGACTTACTGATGGTAACAAAAAATGGAGGCTGCCCACAAAAGTTAACGTGACCTTAGACTGCATTAATAGAAGTATTGCGTGTAGAACAAAAAAGGGTGCGATCTTACTCTACACTGCTCTGGTCAGGCCACATCTGTAGTGCTGTGCCCCGTTCCACCCTGAACTTCAAGGAGGGCAATGACAAACCGGTCTCTTGAAGGCCTTTGATGGTAAGGAACCCGGGAACCAGAACATCCCCTTGCAGTGACTTACAAAAGGTGAAGCTCTAATTGCTGCTAGTTGCTGCTCAGCAGCACTTATTCACTGGTACACCCCTATACCCAGCACGCTTCAAAATCAGTCTTCTGACAGCCCATGTCAGAGACTTGGGCACTAAATTAAATGCTCACAACCTGGCAAGGCCAGGGAAGCCTCTGTCGTTTCCCTACCTGTAAACGAGGGTACGGATGAGGTCCCCTCTGAGGACCCATGTCAGACCTTCTCTGAGCCTGCACTGCGTGTCTAGGGAGGGGGCGTCCGCCCCAGGAAGGCCCGGCGCTGAGGCAGGGAGGAGGAAAAGATGATTCCCTATGGGAACAGAGCCCCTGTTGTTGAAAATGGACCATACTCATCTTGACAAATATTGCAGGATTTTCAGATTTTCCTTTTTATAAATCCTCGTGTATATAGAGCCCACCCTAGCAGCGTTTCCTGTTTCCCGAGCTTGTTACTGCCACAGGCAGTACTGACTGCTCCAAATGACCCCGAAGAACCCCCCTCAACCCCAGCTGCAGAGCCTTCAGGGAGGGAGAGGCTGCAAAAAAAATGGAGCAGGACAGCCAGCAAGGCCCTGGGATTTTCAGCAAGCCCTGCAGGCAAAGGCGGCTGCCCAGGCCCTGGGCAGCTCAGCACACAGCAGCCTAATAGCCCACGCCACCCAGTGCCGCTTGGCAGCCATGACAAATGCCTCTTAAAGACCCACAAAGCTGCCCTAATTACACCCTCCTCTCCCAGGAGGCAGAATGCATCCTCAGTCACTGCAGCAACTCGTCCAAACCCTGTGCAGGGAGGGGCACAGCCTGGAGTCTGCCGCTGGCTGAGGAGTTCAGGGAGCTGAGCAGATGGAGAGCTCACCTGGGCACTCTGACGCGGCCCCTTCCCAGGAGTAGAAGCGCTGGGAGCAGGCGCTCTGGCTGTGGGTCTCTTCAGCAAGAACAGCCTGTGATTCATGAACAAAAACCTAGTTAGCCTCGAAGCCCTGTACTTTGTTGGTTGGTAGGTTGGGACTTTGGGGGTTTAATACCATCACCGACATTCACTAAACATAAGGTTCCCTGGGAGGAGATGGCTTCTTCTGTCAATGCCACGGAGCCAAGCTTTTGAAAAGAGCTGGGAGATAAATGTGTTACCCTGGTCTTGATACTAAGCTTAAGGGTGAGTTTAGGCAAATTCTCCAGGCCTTAATTTCCTCTCCTTAAAAACTCCCAAGGGCCCTTGGCAGCTCCGATATCTTCTAACTGAAGACAGAAGGGAGATTTGACCTGAAGCCCCACTGCCCTCTTCATCCTTCCTTCATTCTAGGCCACAGCAAACTGCCAGCAGTGCCATCTGGCCCAGCCCCACCTCAGGCCAAGGCTTGAGGAGCTTGTACCCACCTTGCAGGCCCCCCTTGTCCCAGGCAGGACAGTCCCACCTGTCGAGTGGTTCGCCTTCACAGCGCCAATGGGCATTTCATGGTACCCGAGAGCTGGGAGAGGCCTTAGAGAGCCTCTGGTCCTGGCCCCTCCCAATGCACCTGGGGAAACTGAGGCCCAGAGAGGGGAGCTCTCTCCCCACCCAGGTCTCCCTAAGCATAGCCTCATCTACAGTGAGAATTTGCCCTGTCCAGCTGGCCAAGATGACAGGTTTGAAATTGTCTAGGGATGTCTCCTCCCCTCACCCCACCAGCCAGTGTCTGCCTCGATCAGCCCTTTCATAGGCGTTAAGGCCTAAGGGTCCGATCTGACCAGGAGACTCAATGCATCCAAGACCTCCCCACCTCACTGAACAGGGGTAGCTGCCCTGCCCCCACATCAGTACACAAAAATCACCTGGAAGTGCCTGGGAAGCTTGCTCACTTCATAGAACTTATCTCACAGTGTTGTAGCTGTGAGGATCAGATGAGTTAATACACGTAAAGCCCTTAGATTCATTTTTGGCACAAAACGAGTACTCAATAAATGTTACTTACAATTACTGTTCATTCTGCCATGGAGTAAAATCAAGGTCTCTGGAAGCTCCACCCACAGAGGTCCCGATCCCCAGGTCTGAAGGGCCCAAGATCCCCAAGACTTTGCACATTTAACAAGTTCCCCAATGATTGTAATGAAGGTATCCACAGTCACACTCAAAAACATCACTCAAGGCCTAGACCAACCAGGACCCCATGCTCATGTCTGCATCATTTAGTGCCAAGAACAGAGAGACTGACCCAAGATTGGAAAGGCCAAGGGTCAGGCCACAGGTCTGGCCAGCTCCCTGTATCACTACTCCCTTTAGTGGCCTTTTCTGAAGCCCCATCAGGAATCCAGGCTTTGTGCTACGTTAAACCCAGCAGTAGAAGCTGCTGTCAGAAGCAGAGCTTAGAGCTCAGAGCATTAGAGGCAAATGGGCCTTTTGAGACCATCTGGTCAAACCACATGGTCATTTTATATATGGAAAAACTCAGGAGGAAGGAGGGGACTTGCCCAAGACCACACCAGCAGTTCAGGACTGCCAAGATCAGAGCTCTACCTGAACCTTGTCACAAGCCTTCAGGACCTTGTCAGCCATGTGTCTGGCATTGCCTAGAAGGAAACTAAAGGTGACTTTGCTCCCTCCATTCTAGAATGACTGCAGGCTCA